TATGCCAACTGCTGGTCCCCGAGATTCTTATTTTTTCTAAGAGATAGTTGATATAAGGGTGCATGCACTCACTGGAGAGAGACAGAGACAGAGAGACAGAAATCAGTCCCCAAGAGGAATGGCCATGCCACGGTCCCTTCTCTTCCATCCTCCTCTTGGGATTTCAAGCACACATGCATAGGTGACTGGCATGGGCCCAGGACTTGAACGGTGGTCAGCCATGTGGATGTGGAAGTCCAGGGATGTAACCATTATGCCATCTGCTGGTCCCTGTATTAGACATTTTTTTTTAGATTTTTGCTATAGGGCTCGTGCACTCTTCGGAGAGACAGAGAAACAGAAATCAAGCTATCACCCTGGCTCCACAGGGAGGATGGCTACATCACACTTCCTTCTCCTCCATTCTGCTTTCAGGATTTTGGGTATGCAATACATGCACATGTGCCCAGTGTGAGTTTTAAGCTGCCAGGTCTGGGACTCAAACTGTGGTTGGCCATGTGGGAGTCCAGCAACGTAACCATTACACCATCTGCTGGTCCCATAGACATTTTTATTGCCACTGTAAATACTGTTTTTCAAGAGACTTGGGGGCTGGCAGGTGGCATGGTGGTTAAAGGCACTGGACTCCCACACGGCTGACCAGTTCGAGTCCTGGCTTGGTGGCTTGCTTTCTCATATTTCCCCTTTCTCTCTTGTTCTGTCCCTCTCTAGTCAAATTAAATAAATGAATAAATAAAGCTAAATAAAATAGTCCTCTAGCTTGGAAAAGCATACTGAGATGGCTTATAACCCAGGTTTTTTCCCCCTTGGTACTTAAATAATAACTACATGTCATAAGAATGTAAGACTTACAGGTTAGTTGTGATAGTTAGTTGCATCAACTCTATACTTGCTGGTTTAAACTTTTTTAAAAAATACATTGGCAAAATTGTCTAAGCTTTTCTTTTGAAATGAGCTAATATTTTTTAATATTTCAAAAGGTGTAGGATATATGACACATATACACTGCTGCCTTTGCTTTCGGTATTTGATTCTATACTCTTATCAGTCACATATTCAGAAAATATGAAACATAAGTAGAAAGTCATATCAAATTTTGTAGCTGCCTGCCATTCTACATTTATCAGGATTCCTACTAGTGTTCAATTTAAGTTGAAATAGGTAGTCACACTAACAAAAATGAAGTTCGTTGAGACCAACTGATGGCATAACGGTTACATCACTGGACTCCCATATGGCCGACAGTGGTTCGAATCCCAGACCTGGTGGCTTGAAACTCACACCAGGCATGTGTGTGTGTGTGTGTGTGCCCAAAAATCCCAGGAGAATAATGGATTGTAGTGTGACCATCCCCCCTGGGGGATGATTTCTCGCTTTCTGTCTCTCTGTCTTTCTCTCTCTGTCTCTTTGGCAAGCACATGTGCCCTATAGCAAAAATCTCTCTTATAAAAAAGTTCTTTGGAGGGAAAAAAGCATATATACATGTATATGTACTAGATTATATATTCTTTCACATACTTGGGGTATCACTGTTTGTAATATCAAAACACTAGAAACAATTTGCATGTCCATAAATGGATGGATTAAGTTGCAGTTTATCTATGTGATTTAACTATGTATCAAACAATATATAAAACATAAGAAATGTACAGAGGAACCTGTACAACAGAATTTCTAGTATGTTACCATTAACAAAAAAGGCAACAAAACATACTATTTGCTTAGCACTATTTCTGATAAGTACACAGGAAAAAGTACACAGGAAACTAGTAACATTAGTTGCTTCTGGGGAGGTGACCTTGATGGCTAAGGCATAGGGCATGTGCACACCCCAGAGACAGTGAGAGGGAAATAAAAAATCACCCCCAAAAGGGATGGCCACACCTCAATCTCTTCTCCTCATGGAATTTTGGACATGTGCACACATGTGCCTGGTATGAGTTTCAAGCTGCCGGGCCTGGGACTCAAACTGTGGTCAGCCATGTGAAAGTCCAGTGCCTTAATCACTATGCCACCTGCTGGTCCCCACTTTTTAAAGTTTCTTTCTTGAGAGGGGAGGCACCCCAACTGGGCCTTCATACTATAATCTACCTCCAGTTTTAGCCAGCCCCAGTTCATGGGCATAGCATGTCCAGTGCATTCAGGGAGATCTCCCAATGAGAACCCAGAACCTTCTCCTATGAGTTGGCTTTGCAGAGCATTGTCATTGTCCCATTGTCTGGTCCAATAAACATACTTTTCCATAGGAACTCTTTTGTTCCTTTTCAATTTCATAGCATATGTATGTATCTCCTACTGCAATCAAGCAAATGGGTCTTTTTTCTTTTAAATAAGTCCTTATATTTGGTGATTTTAAGAACATGGTTTGCCAGGCCAGCAGGTGGGGTGGTGGTTGGGATGCTGGATTCCCACATGGCTGAATGCACGGTTCAAGACCCAGGCCCAATGGCTTGAAAAATATACCTGGTATGTGTACCCAAAGTCCTCAGAGTAGAATGGAATGGCCATCTCCCCTCCCCACCCCGGAATGCCATGCCATAATTGGTGGTGGAGTGGAATGGGAGTGCTGGACTCCCATATGGCCAACCATGGTTCAAGTCCTAGACCCAGTAGCTTGAAATTTATACTGGGTGCATGTACATGCGTGCCTAAAGTCCCAGGAGATTGGAGAAGGGATTAGGCCATGGCCATCCACTCTTGGGGGTGATTTCTCACTTTCCCTCTCAATGTGTCTGTCTTTCTACCCAGTGAATACATACACCCTAAGACAAAAACTTTTTTTTTTTTTTGGAAAGGTTTTTGCTGTAGGGCATGTGCGCTCACCAGAAAGACAGACAGAGAGACAGAAAGCGAGAAATCATCCCTCAGGGCAGATGGCCACACCACAATCCCTTCTCCTCCATGCTCTTCTCGGGGTCTTGGGCATGCATGCACAAACGCCTGGCGTGAGTTTAAGCCACCAGATCTGGGACTTAAAACGCAGTTGACTACTTGGGAGTCCAGTGACATATCCATTATGCCAACTGCTGGTCCCAAGACAAAAACCTTTTAAAAAAATGATTGCCCTCCACATCTGCAGTATCAGAGGCAGATTTACCATGAATCTTCGGGTAAGTTTCAGGTCCATCTACACAGACCCTAGGAATGCTGGAAGTTACTAGTTATGGAAATTCGTACAGTATTCTTGGGGAAAAGCCAGACTCCAACAGGAAGCATTTCTATGGAAGCTATAGAGATGAAGGAATTCACCTTACTTTACTGGAAAATCACTGACCAATAGACAGATAAGTCGAAAAAAGGTATACATATTCATTTTAATGTATACAGTTTTTTTTGGAGAGGTTTTTGCTATAGGGCACATGCACTCACCAGAAAGACAGAGACAGAGAGACAGAAAGCGAGAAATCTCCCCCCAGGGGGGATGGCCACGCTGTAATCCCTTCTCCTCCGTTCTCCTCTCGGGATCTCCTCTCAGGATCTTGGGCACACATGCACATGCGCCCGGTGTGAGTTTAAGCCACTGGGTCTGGGACTTGGACTGCTGTCAACTACATGGGAGTCCAGTGACATAGCCATTAAGCCAACTGCTGATCCCTAATGTATACATTTTGTACCTGGGACTCACAGAAAATTATGAGCTCAAAGAAAGGCAAAATAGGGCCAGTAAATGGTGTGGCACTAGACTTCCACGTGGCTGACTGATGTTCAAGTCTGAGATGCCAGCAGTTTATAAATCAGGTGGGTGGTGGTTGAAGCAATGGATTCCCACATGGCCAATTGAAGTTCAAGTCCCAGACCTGGTGGCTTGCTTTCTCACTTTCTCTATTTCTCTGGCAAGTGTATGTGCCTTATAGCAAGTTAAAATAATAATAACAATAATGATAAATAAATGAAAAATAATTAAAAAAATAAAGTGGGTGTGTGTTCCTGGGTGCTCAAAACCTCTTGGAGAATGGAGATGAAGGATGATTTCTCGCTTTCCCTCTCTGTCTCTCTCTCTCTGGAGAGCACAGGTACCATATGGCAGAAACAACGAAAAATGCTATTTTTAGGTACCAGCAAGTGGAGTAATGGTTGTGCCACTGGACTCCTATGTAGTAATGGTTGTGCCACTGGACTCCTATGTAGTCGACAGCGGTTCCAGTCCCATACGCAGTGGAGGTGGCATGCGTGCCAGCGTGCCCAGGATCCTGAGAAGAGAATAGAGAAGGGATTGCGGTGTGGCCATACCTCCTGGGGTGTGTGTGTGTGTGTGATTTCTTGCTTTTTGTCTCTCTCCAGTGAGTGCACACACCTTATAGTAAAAATATCTCAAAAAAATGCTATTTTTGACATGAAGAAATGTTGTGTTTAGAGATTGAGTAATGAAGTCTGACACCCCTCCCTCCAAAAAATCATGCTTTCCCCAACATGGTTTGATTCAGGAACGGAATGCACCCAGACGGAGAAAGCCACCTTCCCCGGGGTGTCTCACAGCCCAAGCCCACCACGTGCGAGTCCGGCTGCATGCGTTCCCCGACCCTAGGTGTGAGAGTCCTAACTCGAACCCCGGACCTCCATTCCGTAACCGGGCCTGAGATGGTGCGATCGGCTCTATCACCCGACCCCAACTCGCAGAAATACGCCGCTTTTCATAATCCCCATCCGTCTACAGATAGGCAAGGCCTAGACCGCTGCAAGCCATCCCTTCGGTCCCCGCGGGGCCTGCTCAGGTGCCTGGGACATCTTGGAAGGACCGGAACCCACTAGGAGCACTCGGCGACAGCGTACCCCAGCTGCTCCGGCCACCAATCCCGGATCTTGCGCTTAATCCCCACCTCCTAGCGTTGGCTCAGCCTCTCCCGCCGCAGAGCCCGACCCGCTGCGAGTCCGCCGCGCTGGGCCCGCCCCTTTCCTGAGGCGCGAGCGCCGAACTCCTCGAACGCAGCCAATGGGCGATGGGACTGCCGCGCGGCGGGAGGTTCGATTGACCCGGCCTGGCGGGTCGGGAGCCAGGCGGCTGTTAACGCGCGCTTTGGGAAGGGGAAGGTGACGGGGACCCCTCGGCCCTGAGTCCTTCTCTGCCGCTCTCTTCGGCCACTCCTGGAGTTCCCCGCCCATCTCGGGTCTTTCACTGGGCCATCCTGGGTCCCTGCTCGGCCTCGTGCAGTCCGGGCGTGGCATCCGCACGCCAGCCCCGGGAAATCTCTCTTCTCGGGGTTCGGACTTTACTTACCCCCATCTTCTCTGTCCTGGCCTGTGTTCACCCCTGTCTCCCGCAACTCACTCCTTCACTCCGACTCCGACCTTTATCACGTCTCCTTTCGGTCTTGGATTCCCCCTACCTCCTGTCCCCATCCCAGACTTCCACCTCATCTCTGCATGGACGCTTCGTCTTCTACCGAGTCTCCCGAGCGCCTCGGCTAGCGGGCGACCCACTCAGGTTTGGGCCCACACCCCAGTTCCTGGCAGGATCCTCTCCACACAGTCTCCCTGCTTAATTTCCTATCCCCTCAATAATAGAGCAACCCCCTCCCTCTTCAGGTCCTGCATTCTCAACTGCTGGGTACTCCCTTTGACCTCTGGCTGATGGGTACTTGACATTTTAGGTTCCTGAGCCCAGGATGGTAAGTGTGGACCTACAGGAGACTGGGAGCCGCCCTGTGGCTGGGTTTAATGGCCCAGGTTGCAGATTCCTTGCAGGTGGTCATTTCCTTTCTCCCTTACAGAGGAGGAGCTTAGCTCCCAGCCAGCTGGCTAAGAGAAAACCGGGAGGCAGCTGCTCTGATGATGAAGACTGGCAGCCTGGGGCAGTGGTGAGTTCTCAAGGGGATAGAGACGGTGGGATGCAGGGCCTTTTGGGCAGAAAGGAAGCCTGGAGTTGGTTCCTGGAGTCACCTCCAAAAGTCTCTTTCATGTGTTTGTTAAGCTTTAAATGAGTGCTTACTGTGTGCCAGGCATTGAACAAGATTAATATAATCCTTGTGCTCAAGGGAAGTTACTAGAAGCTAATTTAGCCTTAGTTTTTGCTTTTTTGTTTTGTTTTTGGTGGGAAGGGTATTTCAAAGCAGAAAAGCAGGTTGGGTTGGGTCCTTTGACTCTTTTGGGAAAAAAGAGGCTCTGCCACAGCAGTTAAGTGGCCTGCTCTTTTGCCGTTTGTCCCCTGTCCAGTGTCAGTTGTAGAACGGCAGTGTTCTGAGCCTACTTAGAGTCTTGAGCTTCTTTGGGGCTAGATCTGACTGGGGGTGGTCTAGTCCCTTCTCAGACAAGCTTAGTATGTTGTTTACTATGTAAACAATAGTATGTTCTATTTTGACTGGATTCTGCAATGTACTTCCTGCCCTGGGGGCTTACTTGGGCTGGCTGTGGGCAGGATCTGTGTCAACCAAAATAGATAGGACAATGCAACATATACTTTAGAGAGAAAGTTCAAAAGCAAGGGCTTGTGCATTAGAGTTTTGGAAGAGGACTAGAAGGCACTTATTTTTTTCTTTCCTAGCTCTTGCTATAGGGCTCGTGTGCACTCCAGAGACAGGGAGAGAAAGTGAGAAGCCACCCCACAGGAGGGATGACCACACAGCACTTACCCCCTCCTTCAGTCTCCTCTTGGGATTTTGGGGATGCACACACACACACCCTTCGTGGTTTTATTTAAGACTTATTTAACTTTATTCATTATTACTATTTTCCAGTTTGATCAGAGAGAGAGAGAGAGAGAGAGAGAGAGGGAAAGCGAAAAATCAAGCCACCAGGTTTGGGACTCGAACCGCTGTTGGCTATGTGAGATTCCAGTGCCTCTAACTACCATGCCACCTGTTGACCTCCTTACCCCCCTTTGTGATTTTCAAGCTGCTGGGTCTGGGACTCAAAACTGCACAGCTGTCCATGTGTAATCCAGCACCCTAACCTCCACACCACCTGCTGGCCCCTAGAGGGCACTTTTCAGCAAGGGTAGCAATGTGAGTAAAGGCATGTGTGTGTGTGTGTGGGGTGGTGGGTGTGGGGGGGGGGGGGCTAGTGTTTATTTCAGGTGTATCTTCTGGTGTTTTAAATACCTTGGCCAGCTGGTACAAGTGGATTCCACCTGATGGCTTGGTGGGACTTGCTCTGTAGCTGCACTACATGTGCAGGAGGCTCCTAACCTGTGAGGGAGGCACATGGGTTGCCCTTTGCTACTTACATGGGTCCTGTGGGGACCTTGGGGCAGCATTCTCTGCAGCTGGGTTATGAATGGTGCTGTCTATTGCTGGTTGCCCCTGAAAATGCTTTTGGTGCCAGTGGGATAGATTATGGGGTAGGCTGAGTTGGGAGGGGCCTGAGTGACCTGGGAGTTGGGAGAAGTTGTGATCTTATCTCTCCCTGGAAACTAAGAGAAGGAAGCATTTGGTTGCTCTGTCATTCTTGGAGCTTTTGAAGTGAAGATTTGGGCCACCATGATGCCATGCTGCTGGTGGACTTCCTCTTCACAGGCCCACTTAATTTACCTCTTCCATTGCTCCCAATCAGTGTAGACAAGTTATTTAACCACGTGAAGCTCCACTTTTCTCACCTATTAAATAAGACAGTAATAGGGGCCAGCAGGTGGCATGGTAGTTGAGGCACTGGACTCCCATGTGATTGACCAGGGTTCAAGTCCCAGAACTTGCAGCCTTTCTTTGCTCTTTCTCTCTCTCTGGTGAGTGCACGTGCCCTATAGCAAATTATAATAATAATAAAAAAAATTAAATACTTCTTTAAAAAAAGACAATAATAAGCCTCTAGGGTTGCTATGAAGGTGATATACGACAATACATATGAAGAGTTTAGTACAGTACCTGGCACTTAATAAGGACTTCATTTATATATCTCTGAGAAAAAGGGCCAGGAAGACAGACCCAGTACTCCCAATAGGGTCTTTACTCTATAATCCACCCCAGTCTCAGCCAGTGAAATCATGAGCACATGCATGCCTGGCGTTTTCAGGGAGGTCCCAGCATGCAAAACCAGGACCTTTCCCAGATGGGTCTAGTTGCACCCCTGCTTGACCCCTAATAGGCACTTTAAAAGATCTCTGTGGTCTTCCAGACTTTAACTTCCTCAATTCTCTTTCCAGACTCCTAAGAAACGGAAATCCAGAAGTGAGACCCAGATCCAGGAATGTTTCCTGTCTCCTTTTCGGAAACCTTTGACTCAGCTAACCAATCGACCACCCTGTCTAGACAGCAGTCAGCATGTAAGTCAGACCACAGCCTGCCTCTAGACTCCCTCATTGGTTCACAGAGTGGCCAGCAGACACATTGGTGGAGGCTCTGGGCCTGCCTGTAGCTGTTGTGGCCTGCTTACAGATAAGTGCCTGACTTGGAGTCCTCCCTTGTTGATAGCCACGTGGCCACCAGATTGCAAGTGGCTCAGATTCCTGAGGAAATGAGGGTAGAGGAGAGGGAAGCCTTGGTCAGGCATTGGAACCAGAATCTTCATGCCAGCTATGCCAGCTTGGTCTTTGACTCTGCCTGTGGCTGAAAGGAATACCAGATTAGATTACATTTGATAAATACAAAAGAGTATACATAACTTGTAAGGTTTGTAAACACAAAATAAATGCCTGCGAATCTAGCACACAGGACTAGAACATTATGGAAGCCATAATCCCTTTTTCCATTCCCATTTTTTTTTTTTTTTTTTTAGGGGTTTTTTTTAAAGAGCGCTTAACTTTTTTTTTTTCCTTAGGGCACGTGCACTCGCCAAAGAGAGAGAGAGAGACAGAAAGCAAGAAATCACCCTCCAGGGGATGGCCACGTCGCAATCCCTTCTCCTCCATTTTCTTCTTGGGATCACGGCCATGCATGCAATGTGTCCGGCATGAGTTTAAGCCACCAGGTTCAGGACTCAAACCGCGGTCGACTACATGGGAGTTTAGCGACATAGCTATTACACTAACTGCTGGTCCCCTCTCCATTCCATTTTGTGATAGTTTTATCATGTGTATAGAATTCCCTAAATAGTGCATTGTTTGATTTTTCTTTTTAAATAGCTTAAAAAATGGTGTATAGTCTTCTGTCTTCACTCAGATTTATTCAAGTTGTCCCTTGTAACTACATGTCATAAATGCCGTTGTGGTGGTTGTACAAATTGGGGGCCTAAGGATTGGTCTCCAAATCGGAGGAACATACCACTTAAGGGCAGTCCTGAAGGATATGAGGAGCTAGCCAGGTGAAGGGAGTGGGAGATAGTCTAGAGAGAGGGAGCAGCCTGTGCGAAACCCTGACAGTGAGAGAGTGAGGCAGGTCCTGAACAGGGCCTAGTTTAGCTGGATCACTGGGAGTGCAGGGAGTTAGGAGGTGATGGTGGGAGAAGAGCTGGAGAGCTGTGCGGAAGCAGCGGTGGGAGGCCTTTGTAAGCTAGGCCACGAGGGTCTGGATTTTATTTTAAGCCACTGAGGAGTTTTTTCAGGTGTCTGAAGTAGGAGTAGGAGACCCAGCATGACAGAGAATCCATTGGAAGGGGAGAGAGTGGCGGTAAGGAAACTAGTGAGAAAGCTATTGCAGGTGGCTAAGCAAGAGAGAACTGTGGATGGGTCTCAGGTGTTGGGAGATGGGTACTTAAGACTTATAAGTGGAGTGGCAGGATGGTGGCACAGTGGTAAAACATGACATAAAGTGAGGCTGACCTACGTGGGAAGGTTCGAGGTTTGTCCAGAGACCTCACTGAGTATGCCAAGCAATGCATACTCATGATCTGGGGCTGGCGAGACTAGAATGGATTGTGGTGTCAGGATCCTCTTGGGGATGCCTCTCTCTCTGTCTTTCTGTCTGTCTCACTCATGGAAGAAATAAAGTTTTAAAAAATGGGCCCAGCCTTGGTGGTGCAGGCAGTAGCATACTGAACTGCAGTGCTGGGAGTCGTGTGACAGGCCACAGGTTCAGGTCCTGAGTTGACCTGAAACATACTGAATGCACATGACCAAGATCCTGGCTGGAGAGCTGAGGGTAGAGGAGCACACGGTGCTGAGAGCCTGTTGAGGGGGCCTATCTCATGCTTGCTTTCTCGTGTGTGTACACACTCGCTCATGAATTAAAAAAAAAAAAAAAAGACATCAGTTTGATTACATGTGGGGGAGAAGGTGGATGGTGGTGCCGTTTACTAAGAAGGGCCCAAAGGAAGCCTGCGGTGGGAGGGAGATGAGCAGGCACTACCTGTCCTCGGGCCCATGATCCTTTTAGAGGCCCACAGAATGTTTAATCCCCCTTTAAAAATAATTTAATGTGCTTTCTATTAAATGTGTGTGAGAGTGCAAATATGTGTGTGCATGTGTGTGTGTGTGTGCATAGGAGGGGGAGGGGGATAGGTATTTTTATAGGGCCTTGCCACATTGTGATCCTTCTTGCCCCAGCCTCCCAGTCAGCTAACACTGCAGACACAGACCACTCATCCTACCTATTTAGCTTGGGCCAGGAACTGAGTCTGAGGCCCTCATGTGAGCTCAGCTGTCACATAGTGGTATCCCCCCACTTGACCCATCCACCATGGCTGGGCTATTAGCTTAATGTATTAGGTCATCAAGAAACTCATGATGTATTTTTTTCTATGCAAAAATGTGTCATGACTTCTCTGATGACCCAATAAATATTTTTTTAAGTTTATTCCCTTCATGAGCAAGAGGGAGGGAAAGAAGTGGAGAGAGTGATAGTTACTTTCAACAGGATCTTCATGTCGTGATCCACCCCCAGCCCTACTGCCAGCCAGGATCATGGCACACCTGGCTGGTTCAGGCAGGTCTGTGATGTGAAGTTGGAGCCTTCCCTATGATCTCCAGCCTGTGCAGCAATGCCCCTACTGCCCATAACTATGTCTGGGCCAGTTTAATGTATTTTAATAGCAAACTTACAGAAAAAGACAATTTTAAAAACATGTACTTGCATGTAGGGCAACTCAGAAAAGTATAGTGAATGGGTAGATTCTAGTGTATGGTAAAAATGTTACAAACATCATTTGGTTGCTACCAATAAAAACTTATGTTTTAATGCACTTTTTTTTTTTTTTTTTTAATTGTCAGAGGTGTGTGCAGTCACCATCTCTTCCTTTTGGGATTTTGGGCACACATACCCTGTGCTTTTCTTTCTTTCTTTCTTTTTTTTTTTTTTAAGAAGTTTTTTTCTTTTTTTTTTTGGAGAGGTTTTTGTTATAGGGCATGTGCGCTCGCCAGACAGAGAGAGATAGACAGAAAGTGAGAAATTACCACCCAGGGGGGTGGCCATGCCGCAATCCCCTCTCCTCCGTTCTCCTCTCAGGACCTTGGGCACACACCCACACGCGCCTGATGTGAGTTTTAAGCCACCGGGTCCGGGACGCGAACTGCAGTCGACTACATTGGGAGTCCAACGACATAGCCATTATGCTAACCCAAGAAGTTTTTTTCTTAGAGCACATGTGCTTGCAGGAGAGAGAGGCAGAAGACACAGTGAGAAGGAAAGTAAGAAATCACCCCCCGGGGGTATGGCCATGCTGCAGTCCTTTCTCCTCCATTCTCCTTCTGGGATCTTGAGCACAAACGCACACACGCCTCGTGAGATTTTCAAGCTACTGTGTCTGGAACTCAAACTGTGGTCAGCCATGTGGGAATCCAGTGATGAAACTACTACACCATCTGCTAGTCCCTGCCCTGTGTTAAGCCCCCAGGAGACAGGATTCAAATCATGTGGTTGGCCATGTGGGATCCAGCTTCCTTAACCATGAAGCCATAGGGTAGACACAAAATTGGCTTTTTTTTTTTTTGCCAGAGGGCATGTACAGTCCCTAGGAAGAGACGGAAGACAGGGAATGGAGAAAGCACCCCGCATGTGGAATGGTCATGCAACAGCCCCTTCTCTATCTCTTTCTTTCGGAATTTGGAGTATGCATGCACATGCACATGCACATATACTCAGTGTATTTTTCTTTTCTTTATGTTTTTACCTTAGGGCTTGTGCCCTCACTAGAGAAAGAGAGTCAGAAAAGGAACATGAGAACCCCGGGGCGGGGGGATGCTCATTTTCCTCCATCGTCCTCTCTGGGTTTTGGGCATGCTTGCATATGTGTTTTGCATGGTTTTCAAGCCACTGGGTCCAGGACTTGAGCCATGGTCCACCACATGGGATTCCAGCACCTTAACCACCACACTACTTGCTGACCATGCCTAGTGTGTTTTTCAAGCCACCAGGTCCAGGATTCTAAATGCATGGTCAGCTGTGTGGAATATGACTTCCTTAACCACCAGGCCATGGTGCTGGCCCAAAATTTATTCATTTTTTAAAAAATCTAAATGATGGCATTATACAGAAGATTTTTTTTTTTTTTTTTTTGAGAGAGGTTTTTGCTATAGGATGCATATACTCAGCAAAGAGATAGCAACAGAGAGACAGAAAGTGAGAAATCATCCCCGAAGGGAGTTGGCCAAGCCGCAATCCCTTCCCCTTCATTTTTCTCTCCGGTTTTGGGCATGCATGCACATGCTCCTGGTGTGAGTTTTAGCTTCCAGGTCCAGGACTCAAATAGTGGTTGACTGTGTAGGAGTCTAGTGACATAACCATTACGCCATCTGCTGGTCCCTCCAGAAGAATTTAACAGATTTATTCATAATTATGTTATAAGTTGAACTTCTGCAGCTTGTTCACTGAAGCATTTTGACTTGCATCAGTGCTCTATATTCCTACATTTATATTAAAAATTCACACATAAATGAAAATGGAAAAACTAATAATACTTGATTTTTGTTCTTTATTTTTTCTACTCACAGTCATAATACTTAGGTACTTTATGATTCATGGAGAAAAAAATCTGACATTTAGAATTAGCAATAACAGAAAGAAGAAAAGTTTTCTTTTTGAAGAATAAAATGTGTCCAATGATAGTAGGTTCGTTCTTTTTTTGCTGTAGGGCATGTGTGCTAGCCAGAGAGACACAGAGAAATTACTCCCCAGCACATATGGCCATGCCATAATCTTTTCTCCATTCTTCTTGCAGAATCTTGGGGCACACATGTGCATGTGGCCACTGGGTCCGAGACTTGAGCCACAAAGCTACATGGGATCCAGCGCCTTAACCACCATGTCACCTGCTCACCCCATAGTAGATTCCCCCCCCCCAAGCTTTATTTTGCCTTAGGGCATGTGTGTTCACCAGAGACGGATGGAGAGAAGTGAGGAATCACCCCCCCAAGGGGAATGACCATGCCACAGACCCTTCTCCTGGCATCTT